AATAGCTACAGTAGCTGGGTGTGAAGAATGGCCTGTTCTTCAATTCTGTTCCGTGGTTGGTATCACTAATAGTTAAATAAAAAGATGAGAAACTCAGAGGGCTGAACATTCCAGGTTGGATGAGGCTTTGGGCAACGTGGTCTAGTGGAGGGTGTCCCTGCCTGCAGCAGGAGGGTTGGAACTGGATGATCTTTAAGGTCCCTTCCAACCCAAACCATTCTATGATTCTATGATAACTAGCAGGATTTGGGGTAAGATAAGGCTGGAGGAGGAAGTATGAATTGAAAAGGAGAAACAAGGAGTTGGGCAAGATGAGAATTACAGGGATCAGAACTCAAAGGAGCAGGAACTGGGACTGGCTGGCTGGCTGAGGAAGATCAGGTTGTGGCAAGGAGTTAGTGCAAGGGCAGGTCCAACTCGGCCAGAAGTACTGGTCCACCAGGACATAGCTTTCTCAGTATGAGACTGGACCAGGCATTTTGAAGTTGCTGCATTTAGTGGCTGACATCAAATATTTAAAGTCTGTCCCAGAAATTCTTTATCTTCTCTATCTGCAGTAGTTAAGACAATTTTTAATCACTTAAATCATGCAGCAGGTTGAGGTCTCTGGATATTTGATGATTCCAGCCATGCTGCTGCTTTGGGTTGGTGTCTGTATGTTATCACGTATTGGAACAATAGACATACTATTTCACTCTGTGGCTTTTTTCTGTTTCTTAATATTAAAAACCAAAAATAACTCAAAAATAATGCATTTTAACTTTATTATCTAGGTGGAATATCAAATATGGAAAAATAAGTTATGCCAGCCTACATTTAGTTATTCCTGTAGAATATTAAAGTTTTCCTTGGTTTTAACCACTAGAATATACATGTCATGCAACATAGAAATTTGATAGCATTCATTTAAATGCCACTTCTTCTGTGAATATGTGGTCATGCACAGCATTTAGTGCTCGTATTCATTATTCAAACCCAGATTAACTTCTAAATTCGATGTTTTTTTTATTCTGCAGCAGTGAGTATGAGTGCTTCACAGTTTTTCTCACTGTATTTAGATGAGTTGGCATTTGCTTCAGTTTTAAAATGAATGCAGTGAGTGTAAGGTAAATGATTCAAAGTAATTCTTCATGTTCCTTGGGATGTCAGCTCTAATCTCTTCAGAAATATTGTAACTAGTGTTTTGAAACGTGAAGTGCAGCTCCTGTTGGCATCAGTTGTTCTGTGCACTGTAGGTATTCAGAACAATTTGAAGTCTAGCAGCATACACCTGGGCATCCAGACTATGAAGAGCTTGTTTCTTTCCATGCTGAGGATAGCTCTAGCATTAGAGAAGATCACAGTGAATGAATATAGGAGAGAGATAGGGATCTCTCGGCTAGTACTTACTTCCTTCAGCTATGAGGTTACTTTTCTTTTTCTGTGATCTCTGGTTTACTTCTCCTTGAGTCTTTCTGTTTATGGAAGAAATCAGGCCATGAACTTCTATTGAAGTCCAGATTGTGTAATTGAGGTTTTCTGAGAGCAGAATTTGAATGCTGCTTGCCATGGTGGCGTTCAATTTGTGCATTTCAATACATCTATAATTTTTTTTTCTTACTAAATAATGAAACTTTTCTTATATAGAGCTGATATTGAATGTCCTCTGAGTCATTCTGTTTTTTTCAGAGCTGCTGCTCCTGTTGCAAACAATAGCAATATTGGAGGGCTTCTTGCTCTACTCACTGTGTATATTTAAGTGTACAACTTATTTCTAGTACTAAGACTTTTGATGCAGTAAGCTTGTTTGGCTCAGCATATGTTTCCTGTTTGTCAGTGTTAGAATGTCACAATAGCTGTGTGGACAGATCTGAGAAACTTCTTTCTCTGAAACACTCAGAGAAAAAAGGCTTTCTTTAATCAGATATTTATTATTGTTTGCATATTGTATTTCTAAATATAGATTGCTCTTCTGAATTTGACTTCACCAGTCCTTCCTGCTTTTTGGAAATCTGCTGCTGTTCAGTGGCTGTCTCATGAGTCTCATATTGTAGTTATTCAGATAACTGCATTGTCCTTTGGTTAGTAACGCACTCTTCAAACAGAAGTTTAGTGTTGAAATGTACTTTTTAAGCAGCTAATTTAACTTAAAGTACTAAGTGCTATTTAATAATGTGGACATACTGTTTCACTATGTGGCTGATAGTTAGGTATCACTAGTTTCATATGTGTCTGTACTTGGAAATTTTTGTGTGGAAGAGGGAACGATACGAGAGCATTTGTGGAAAGGGTACCATACCAAAAGCATGAACAGAGAATAGAGTGTTTTATGCTTTGCTAATTCACACTAACATGTAAAGGCTAGAATAAGTGTACCAGGTCTGGGTAGGATGGAGTTAATTGTTTTTCATAGCAGTCCTTATGGTGCTGTGTTTCAGATTCCTGACTGAAACAGCACTGGTAAGGCACCAGTGTTTCAGCTGTTACTGAACAGCGCTTGCATGGCATTGTGGCCTTCTCTGTTCCGCACTCTGCTTCCCTCTGGGAATAGGCTAGGGATGGGCAAGAGATTGTGAGGGGACACAGGCACGACAGCTGACTCCAACTGATCAAAGAGATACTCCATACCATATAGCATCATGCTTGACAATAACATTGGTAGTGCTGGGGGTGGGATGTTCCAATGTAACCATTGTTCAGAGGCTTGCTGGACATCTGCTGGTGGGAGATGATGAGTGTGTTTGCATCACTTGTGGGGTTTTGTTGCTTTTTTTCTTTTTTTTTTCCTTTACCCCTCCTCTCCCCTTATTAAACTGTCTGTTTCTCAACACCCACAAGTTTTACTTGCTTTTGCCATTCTGATTCTCTCCCCCATCTCACTGAGGAGGGCAGTGAGTGACTAGGTGGGGGCTTAGCTGCCAGCTGGGGTAGACTCACCGCATTAAGTTAAAAGTTTTCAGCTGTATACAACTTTCTACCATTCTGTATATTGAATTACGAAATTGTCTTATTTGTATTAACTTTGTTTTATGTTTTTGATTTTGTACTGACAAGTCTGGTAAACAAATGCCTAATTCTAATGTCAGATTTAATTCTTCCCTTATTTTTTATGATCTTTTCTGTGTTTCAAATGATACACAGTTTAATTTTGACAGCAAACATTCTCCTCACTCATACTTTCCGTTGTTTTTATTGTTCATCTGCACAATATTTTGTGCCAGTCATTTAATGAAAGAACATGTTACAGTGAATTAGTCTGTCAGTTTCTGCAAGACCTGATGACATTTTAGTTGGAACAGTACATTCAAGTCTAGGATAGTAACTAAAAAATATGGCAAACTTGTGGGAGGAGACTGTCACTTAAGGTGGCTTTATTGAGATCACATTGTTGTATAAGTCAAATGTAGGAAAGCTGATGATGAATTGCATGTAACATTGTTTTGTATACATTTATAGAAAGGGTTATTCTTGTTGAGTCACCATTAAAATAGTGCTTTGTAGGTAAATGTATGCTTTAGCCAAAAGTTTGTGACCAGAAGGGTCGCTTTTATGTATGTTTATGCACATGAATTTAATTAAAATATGCAACATACAACTTTTTAACTTTGAAGCAATGATTTTCTTGTGGTAAGCTTTTTTATAGTAACATTTTTTTTAATTGCCTCATATTAATAAATCTGTGACTGTAGCTAATGGAAAAAACAATGTTCTCATTTGCTGTATCCTTCAGGATTTTAGAGTTGATAGATATTCTTCCCTGTCTCTTTTTCTAGCTGTAAATAAGTTGATTGCAGCTATTAAAAAATATTGTTGCTGCATCTGTAAATCGTTACTGCTGTCAAGACTAATGCTGTAATAGATACTGGTGCTGAGAATGTAGATTTTAATTTTCAGTAGTTTAATAGCTTGTATATTTACTTAAGTGTAGATTAAGTCACTTACTGTTCTTTTTTAAAAAATTAGGCAAATATTTCATGTAGAGGTTTTAAATTTAGCTGTCTTTAAAGGAAATAAGATTGTAAATGTATATAAACGTAAAGACCTGGAAGAAGATAAGTATTTATCAACTCCATTTTGTTTTCTAATGTTGAACTACAGTGTTGAAATTAAGAAAATATGTATATTTATACATAACAATTATAAATAAGTAAATAGTATATTTACAGGTATTTGCATATTTGATATACGTATAAAATATTGTACACTTCTTTTGTTCATTTACGTAAATATAAATGTAAATAACCATACTGATAAGTGGATTTATTACTATTCCAGAAAACCTTCCTCTCACCTATTTTTATGTTCTGAAGGTGCAAAAAACAATGTAGTGGACAGAAACAATGTAGTGGACCCAGGCATCTGTGCAATAAGTACAATTTTTCTTCATATGAAGTTAGCGTGCTCTATACTAGTGGACACTTCTGCTGTTCTGCAGAACCAAGCCTGCATGTCTCTAGCACAGAGAAATGTTTAATTCCTGAAATAGCTTTCTTAAGCTAAACCTCAAGTAGTCTTTCTTACTGTATAGATCATTGGAGGAAAAAAAATTACACTTTTTTCATAATTTTACTGGTTCAGGTAGAAGCTGAACCAGAGGGGCTTTTGGCACTATGGGATGCCGTTTCCTCAGCTTCATTTTTCTGAAATGTTTTCCTGTGAAGGTTTTGGAGGTGCTTCTGGGTAGGGAAAACCAGGAGTTTAGAAAGCTCTTTTCTTCCCTTGTGCTTTTGGTGTCAGTGGCCAGTGTAGCAGGATACAGTTTTCTTCCTTACTCTGAGAGCTTTTTTCCTTATAAATCAGATGTATGACAGATGGAGTTTCTTTTAGACTGTGTTAATCTCAGTTTATGAGAAGCTCAGAAGTGAATTATGTCATTTTGGAAACAATGAAACAGGTGGATGTTTACAGGCTTTCTTAGTGAAAACAAACCTTTTTAGACTGAAACAAAAGCAAAGTTTTATGTGATATAAGTGTTGACTTGTTGCTTATGTACACGTGCATACATTTACAGAACTGCTTTCTCTTCTAGGATCCTTCTGTTACACAAGTGACAAGAAATGTTCCTCCAGGGCTAGATGAGTACAATCCTTTCTCTGATTCAAGAACAGTAAGCACATTTATTTCTTAATGCTATGTGTGTACAAATGAATGTATGTGATAGGAGTAAGGGCAGAGACAGTGGCAGTGAATGTCTTCAAAGATTGAACAGAGGTATAAGCAGGGTCTGTGAATTTTAGACTTGGAGGATTACAGTGTTCATCAAGGTAGGGATAGGAATTACTCTGCATTTTGTGTGCTGCTTAGAGCAAAAACATCCAAATAGTTTCTGGGGGTTTTGATTTGCTGCTGTTGCTTGTTCTACCTTTGTTGGGAAGCTAAGTTACCTTGAACAGTTTTGTGCAAGTCATCCCACTTCTAACATTTCAAAACCATGGTGGCGCTAGTGAGCAGAAAGGATACAAGCTAGCGGTAGCAAAATATGTCCTGCAGATTTCTGTGCTCTTTAGTTTGAGAATTGCTGGTCTGTAAGATTTAAAATGATGTTTGTTTCACTATGAGTAACAATATGTAGTTGTAGGTTTTAGGGAAGCTGAGAATGGTATGCTTCAATTAGAACCCCAGATTTCTAGTGGTAGTGATAAGATGGTGTCTTGCAGTTTATAGCATTGACACAGCATTAACCTTTATTCTCTTTTCCCTCCAAATTCAAGTTAATAAAGCAGCTGAACTGCAGAAATATTTCTCCATTGCAAATCCAGATTTTCTTCTGTGAGAAAGCGACTTCAAATGCTGAATACTGGCATTTGCTATCTTAGCTCCGTTGTGTTCTTCTTTTGCCAAGGGAGATGCTTCCTATCATTTCATTCGTGGTTATCAGGATAGGACAGAAAAAAAAAGAAAATTCTTTTTTTTTCTCAGTATTCCTTATTCTATTTTTTGTATTTTATTTTTTTTTAGTATTTTGGTGCATTCACCTTTTCTCAGTCAACTTATGTCCTCCACATCTGCAGTGGGAAATTTGGTAGGAAAATAACATGTGAGACATAATGAGGAAGGTGAATGGGCACAGGAAATTTTAGGTCTCAAGTGCCACCACCTTGATACCTGACATGAGAAATCAGGACTCTTAAGTTTTCAGTGAATGGTACAAATGTCAGATTAAATATTGTTGCCTGCATCTTCAATGGTTTTGTCTTCAGCTCTAACAGTCACCATGGAGATGACTGTATCTTTTGTCATGTTTCTGAAATCAACAAGGAACAGATGATATTAGACACTTTGTATTTCTGCTTTATCATTTAATGAAACTAGTGTTAAAGAAGGCCTTTAATCTCTTCATGCTTCTACAAGTTTTGCTAATTGAACTCCTCTGAGCACTGTGTATGTATAACACGTATAGACAAAATAATGCACATAGCAATCACTTTCCAATTGCTACATTAAAAATTTGGAAAAAATCATTAGTAGAGTTGGGGTGGTTTTTTGTTTTTAAGTGTATTGGGTTTGCACGGCAAGGTTTTGGTAGCAGGGCGGCTACAGGGGTGGCTTCTGTGAGAAGCTGCCAGAAGGTTCCTGGTTCCCCAATGTCTGACAGAGCCAATGCCAGCTGGCTCCAAGACGGACCTGCTGCTGGCCAAGGCCGAGCCCATCAGCCCTTCTGGGATAACGTATTTAAGAAGGGGGGGAAGAAACCACCAACAGTAATTGTAGCCAGAGAGAGGAGTGAGAGCATGTGAGAGGAGCAACTCTGCAGACACCCAGGTCAGTGAAGAAGGAGGGGCAGGAGGTGCTCCAGGCACCAGAGCAGAGATTCCCCTACAGCCCCTGGTGAAGACCATGGTGAGGCAGGCTGCCCGCCTGGAGTCCATGGAGGTCCACAGTGGAGCAGAGATTCAACCTGCAGCCTGTGGAGCACCCCACGCCAGAGCAGGTGGAGGTACTCAAAGGAGGCTGTGACCCCGTGGGAAGCCCGTGTTGGAGCAGGCTCCTGGCAGGACCTGTGGATCCGTGGAGAGAGGAGCCCATGCTGGAGCAGGTTTGCTGGCAGGACTTGTGACCCCATGGGGGACCCACGCTGGAGCAGTCTGTTCCTGAAGGGCTGCACCCTGTGGAAGGGACCCACACTGGAGCAGTTGGTGAAGAACTGCAGCCCCTGGGAAGGACTCACGCTGGAGAAGTTGGTGGAGGACTGTCTCCCGTGGGATGGACCCCATGCTGGAGCAGAGGCAGAGTGTGAGGAGTCATCCCCCTGAGGAGGAAGGAGCAGTGTTGTGGTTTTGTCCCAGTGAGCAGCTAAGCACCATGCAGCCGCTCGTTCACTCCCCCCACAGGAGGATGGGGGAGAGAATAGGAAGAGGAAAAGTGAGAAAACTCGTGGGTTGAGATAAAGATTGTTTAATAAGTAAAGCAAAAGCCGAACACACAAGCAAAGCAAGACGAGGAATTCTTTCACCACTTCCCATTGGCTGGCAGGTGTTCAGCCATCTCCAGGAAAGCAGGGCTCCATCACGTGTGATGGTGATGTCCCTTCCCAGCTTCTTTTGCACCCCCAGCCTCCTGGCTGGTGGGGTGGGGTGAGAAGCAGAAAAGGCCTTGACTCTGTGCAAGCACTGCTCAGGAGTAACTAAAATGTTTCTGAATTATCAATACTGTTTTCAGCACAAATCCAAAACACAGCCTCATAGTAGCTACTATGAAGAAAAATAACTGTCCCAGCCAAAACCAGCACAAGCTGCAGAGACATGTGATGAACTGACCACAACTCCTCTTCCTCCATTGCAGCTTTTTTTTTAAATGAAGTTAGCTTAATTCTTAATTCTTAATTCTATTGCCTTTTTAATAACTGTACAAAGAACTGTCTGCCATACTGTTTTGTCTACCAAGCCAATAAATTATTATTTCTTTGACTTAATAATAAGTATGTCTTCATTGCATGTATGAAGGAACACTTGTTTTGAGTACCTTGTTTGCATTAAGGCTTTGTGTGCATAACCTCTATTCTCCCTGGTTCTTGTTTGTTTGCCTTGTATGCATTTTTATTGAACTTCTGTTTTTTCCAGTGATTGCTGAATACTGGGAAATATATTTATAGAACCAAAGAGGACATTAAGTGGTTTCTGACAAAATCTTATCACAACTAACATTTTTCCTCTATTTTTCCTGTACCCTTTCCTTACTACGTACGTCAGTCCCGTAATAGATGATCTATTACTACAACAGCTACATTTTGCAGTTTTTGTTGGGTGGGTTTTTTTGGCAGCAGAATGATTTTCTAAGGCAGCTAGGTACTTCTGTTTTTTCATTTTAAGTAGCTGTGGGTTTTGTGGGGTTTTTTTTTGTTTCTCAGCTTTGATGAGGGTTATAAAAAATAAGTACTTCAGTTTGATAGGAAGACTTAGTGCAACCTGAGTTTAAAATGGTGGTATGCTGGTCACTTTTTAAGAGCGCAGGAGCAGGGAATTCCAAAGTGTCAGAAGTTAAGCAAGTGGGGCAGAAAGCCGGCTTGGCTGAGCAGGGATCTTCTTCTAGAACTTAGGCAGAAAAGGAGAGTGTATGGACCTTGGAAGGAAGGACAGGCAACACAGGAGGATTAGAGAGATGCTGTTCACCACTGTAGGGAGACAATTTATGTGGCCAAAGCTTGATTAGAGTTCAAGCTGGCCAGCACTATGAAGGACAATAAAAAGGGCTTTTTAAAATGTGTAAACAGCAAAAGGAGGATCAGAGATAACATAGGTCCATTACTTGGTGAGGTAAGTCACCTCACCGATAGGGATGTAGACAAAGCAGAGATGTTTAATGCCTTCTTTGCCTCTGTCTTTAACACCAGTGATGGGCACTGGGACCCCTGGAGCCCTGTGACTGGAGGGATGCCAAACTTGCTCCATCAGGATGCACATAAATCTGTAGGGTCCGATGGGATTAATCCAGGGTACTGAAAAAGCTGACCAATGTTATTGTGGGACCTCTCTCCCTTATTTTTCAATGGTCTTGGGAGTCTGGAAAGGTACTAGTTGACTGGAAGCTGGCATATGTTGTCCCAATTTTCAAGAAGGAAGACCCTGGTAATGTCAGGCCTGTCAGTCTTACTTCAGTGCCTGGTAGAATTATGGAGAAGGTTGCTCTGTCTGCTTGAGAGACAGTGCAGTCGTTAGCCATAGCCATCATAGGTTCACAAGAGGAAAGTTCTGCTTAACTAATGTAATTTCCTTTTATGACAAGGTTATCTGTCTAGTTGACCAAGGGAAGCCAGTAGATGTGATGGTTTTGGATTTTAGCAAAGCTTTTGATACTGTCTCTCACAGTATCTTGCTGGATGGAATGTCCAGCACACAGCTAGACAAGTCCATAATACGTTGGGTGAGCAGTTGGCTGATGGGTCAGGCTCAAAGTGGTATGGTAAATGGAGTTACATCAGGCTGGTGGCCAGTCACCAGTGGAGTTCCCCAGGGCTCAGTTTTAGGACTGGTGATCTTAAATGTTTTTACAAATAATCTGGATGCAGGAGTCGAATGTACATTAAGTAATTTTGCCAATGATACTAATAGGAGCTGTGGACTCCCTTGAGGGTGGACAGGCCTTAGAGAGATCTGGATAGACTAGAGAGCTGGGCAGTCACTAACCGTATGAAATTAAACAAGAACAAGTTCTGGATTCTCCACCTAGGGTGGGGTAGTCCCGGTTATATATACAAATTGGAGGCTGGAGAGCAGCCCCACAGAAAGAGATCTGAGGGTTTGGGTTGATGGCAAGTTGAGTATAAGTCAACAGTGCGCCCTGGCAGCCAAAAAGGCAAACTGTGTCCTGGGTGCATCAAGCCACAGCATAGCCAGCTGGTCGAGGGAGGTGATTGTCCCACTCTACATTGCACTGGTGTGGCCCCACCTCGAGTACTGTGTGCAGTTTTGGGCTCCTCAATATAAGGAGGATATCAAACTATTAGTGTGTCCAGAGGAGGGCAACCAAGATGGGGAAAGGTCTCGAGGGCAAAACTTAGGAGGAGCAGCTGAGGTCACCTGGCTTGGAGAAGAGAAGCCTGAGGGGTGACCTCATTGCAGTCTACAACTTCCTCAAGGGAGGCAGTGGAGGGAGGAGGTCTTATCTGGT